GCTTTAAACCCCAACAGCAAACAAGCTGACTTATTTTTTGGACAGCTATCTTGCATGTTCAATCCTGCTCCTTTTTTCCATGCTGTGATCTCATCTATCATTCCAACCATCTCATTCAAAGTGATCGTGGAAAAAATAAAAGGGAGGGGGGGGAAAAGATAAAGCCTCCTTCAATTCAAGCTAGACTCCTGGTGGTTTTATGGACAAGCCCTGTATTGTTTTCTTGGCAACAATACAGAAGAACAGTTTAAAAATAAAACAGTATAAGAATGATAGAAGAAAGGAAACAAAGACATCAAATGAATCATGAGGAAAAGAAATGAATTATTTTTCTTTGTTTCTCTCAAATCAATGAGTGTGAAGTTATGCTTAACACAGACACGCCTTCATAGGTCAGTTCCAAATTAAGACCCTGAAAGGACAGCATGGGTTCACCCTCATAACAGTTCTGGGCTTAAAGACTGACTCATCATGGTGTTAGACCCTGACCCATTTCGAGAAACGCTGGGTAAGCAGTGCAGTGAGCAGTACAGGGGAGTCTGCTGTGAAACAAAGCACCCCACCAAGGAGCTTCAGGGTGTCACCTTCTTTTCTTTCTCCAGGATCATCTGATCCTTCTGGTGCAGCATTTTCTTCAGAGTAGCTACCTCCTCCTTCAGCTGGGCTATGATGACAAAATGATCGGTGCCAGGGGAATCCAAGGCAAGGTCTGGAGAAAAACTGTAGGAGACCATAAGAGTGATTTCACTGTGCACACTACTACATCCCAACAGCCGTCACAGTGGATCCACGGACAAGAGAGGCATGGACCCATAAAGTAATAAGCTTGGGAAGCAACCCTGGTTGCCATCAGAGTTTTAATGCATTTCACGTGGCGTAATTTCCATATCTCTTATCCAGTTATCTAAGGGAGCCTCACTAAAAAAAAACAACATAAATAAGTTGTGCTGATCGTGCCCATGTATGATATCTGGGTACAACCTTTTGTTTCAACATCTGCTCCTAACGTAGAGAATTCTACTCCTTTCTGGGCCACTGCTTCTGCAAAGCTTGGCCCAATCTTTACTGTGTTTTGCATTTCTGTAACAGGAGGTTACATTTCAGTGACACACAGTGAGCTGCTGCAGCCTTGACAGTCTAACAATATAATGCTGCATGACTGTACTTCAGCAGAAATACTGCTGAACTTGAAGACCTCCTCAAGACTTCATAAAAGGCATAGAGTGAGTTGTATGCATCTAAAAGATGCAATGAGATATGCTGGAAAACAATGAAACTCATTTTAATATTTTTTTCTCTTTCCTAAGGACAAATACTTAACTTTCCAAAATTTCTGAAACCTCCCACCAGTTGGATGGCTGTGCCTGGATTCATAACAATCCCCGGCTACAGCACCAAATGGCCTAGATGCTTTCTATTTTGAATTTCTCTGCATTAATTAACTTCTCTATAAAAAGATTCTACAAATTGGTCTTTATCAGACTTCTGCAGACTCTAGTTTCCAGAATTCCTGTGGGAGGAAAAGGATAACTCTAAATCTATGGCTGCCTTCCTCAGTCTGGTGCCTTCATTAGAGATGATGTTTTCCAGAAAAATTTGAATCAGAAAATTTCCCAGAGAATTTTCCTATTCAAATGACTATGATTCAAATTAGGATATTTTTCTCAGTATCCACAGTCTGCATAAATACTGGACCACATTATTTGATTAAAAATAAACATGGCCTCTTTTATGAGGTTTGAACATTACACATTTGAAGACAATAACAGCTTGGATATATAGATTAAAAAATATTTTTACTGGAATGCTGAAAACTCTGTTGGGCAATAAGCAAAAGAATAATATACAAGTGCAATGTATTTCTAGCTTCTCTTTTTTGTTGTTTTAGAACAATGTCCTGAAAAGCAATTCTGAACCTGTCACCCTTACCTGAAGTACAAAATGTTCTTACACTCAGCACTAAAAACACCAGGATTACAGCTAGGTAACAAACTGTGGCAACAAGTATTTGCTTGTTGGCTATTCCAGGCTTGTATATAAACCCCCTAGGAGTTATTACTCTCTGAAACATTATGAGGAGCTGGTAAAGGAGGAGGGCAGAGCTCTACTTACACAGCCCAATGCATTTGAAAATGGGCGTGATGAAGGGGATCGTGACAATCAATGGCGTTTCTCTGCTGGGCAGCAAGGAATTGTAGAATATCCATTTTTTTTCACTACCCTGGTCCCTCTCATTAACTCCTTATTCTCCACAGATACCTGAGAAGTACTTAAAAGGCTGGACTGTTCTGTTTAAATGAAGCCCTAGCTAGTTTCCAAGTTTGCCTATGTGCAGATCTGATGCAACTTCTGGCTGTATTTATCTCAATATCACAGACAGATCTAGGGCAGAAACCTTATACACCCGGGTAAAAGAATAGTGGCTGCCAGATTTCTGCTGACCCAACTTTGATTGCAAGACCACAATTTCTTTCCCATGGTTGATGCCTGCCCTCCAGTGGCCATGTATGAACACTGCAAGAATTTCTAGTCAGATTTCCAAAAAAAGTGCTCTAGAACAGGGTTCTTCAACCTTGGCAACTTTAAGACGGGTGGACTTCAACTCCCAGAATTCCCCAGCCAGCCTTGAAGTCCACCCATCTTAAAGTTGCCAAGGTTGAGGAACCCTGCTCTAGAAGTTGTAGGGATATTAATAGTGTTGAAAATTTAGGATGAGCGGTAAAAACACCATTAAGCAGACACACATGCTCACACACAAGTTCTTAGCATGTATGTGTTACTCTAAACCAGTGTTTCTCATCCTCAGCAACACCATTAATACTCCAAAAGATCTTCAACTCTTCCTCAATAGCATGTTGAGTGCCATACGACATGAGGGGCCCGTCATCTGGCACTATATCATTAATCGTTTTGTATTCTATCTATGTGGTTTTCTGGGTAAAAATATAGGAGTGGTTTACTATTGCCTTCTCCCACACAGTGTGAACTGATGCCTTTCCCTCTGTCACGACAGTGATCATCTGCCTCCAGCAACTTCTTCTATTGCTGCTGCCCAATAGAGATGCCTACTTGCTTTAGCGGGGCAGCTGGGATGACCTTCACGCCTTGGGTGACCCTGCTGGGAGTATATATTCTTGGCATATGCTCACGATGTTGTTCGTTCATCCCTCCCAGGAACACCCCCTGCCACAGTGAGGCAGCACAGCAGGACTTGGGGGGGAGCTGCAATCTAGCAAGGCTTTTTTACATAGCTGAAAGTTTATGCATCTGTTTTAGGTCCCTATGGGCTTGCTGTGAATATTAAAACAGAGTAACGAATATTAGAGTCTGCACCTTAAATGCAAACCTGCAAACTTGCAATTTAATATGGTATAGCATTAGGCCAAAGGGTGTCCTAGGAAGCCCTTCATCCAATTCTTGCATCGGCATGCCCACTCTTGGTGGCCATAGGCAAACTTTCCCCAACTAGGTAATTTTCAGCTATGCTGTGACTACAATACCAAGGACTCCCCAAACAGACTGGAAGCCAGGATGAGGAAAGATGCCATAGGTCAACTTTGCTTTCTCAGCCTTCATCCTTGCCCTGCAATTTGTAGATAGCAATATTAGCGTACTTGACAGGTTTTCTTTAACAACTACAGGTAGTTCTCACTTACCAAATGCCTCATTTAATGACTGTTCGAAGTTAAGATGGCGTTAAAAAATAGCTTTGCAACTAATCCTTGCATTTATGACTGTCGCAGCGTCCCGCAGTCATGTGATCGCCATTTGTGTGCTTTGCAACTGACTTGCAACAAGCAGAGTTAATAGAAAAGGTAGAAGTAAAATTGTAAGTCATGGTCATGTGATGTTTCGCTTAACGACTGAAAGGGAAGGGAGCTCGTAAGTCGGTCATATGATGTTTCGCTTAGCAACCGCAGCATTTAGTGATGGAGTTGCTGGTCCCAATTGTGATTGCTAAATGAGGATTATCTGTACTAAGATGATATGAAATAATCTGAATATTTTAAATATAATATTCTGATTAAGGTAAACATTACATTAAAATACTTAATTCTGTTACATAAATAGCAGCTGAACAACACTGAGACTGTAAAGAATGGGGAAAGCATATTGCACTCATCTTCTCTCTACTACAGTCCCATTAAAAGTCATATCTCTAAATTATCTGCAATTCAATTAAAGCCTTCAAAGGTAGAGGCAAACAGCATTTCTCCAGAAGACATATGAGTGAAATTGTGGCATGAAGCGAGAGGGAGGGAAAGAAACAGAAAGATCTCTTCCTCTCCCTTTCCAGAATGATCCAGAACTAATTTCATGGTTATGAGGAACTTTTGTTTTTAATCTCTAAACATGAGAATGTGTATCAAATACTTTATGTTGTTTCTTTTTTAAGCAAAGACAGATCCGATACTCCTTTATTTCTAAAAATTAAGTGGCTTACCTGTCCCCATTGGCTGATATGGCATCAAACTTGGGTTTTTTCTTTGGCAGTTCATTCTGAATAGAAGATGTAGATAAGGTTTTCTGGCTGCAAAAGTAACACAGAGGAAAAATTGACCACAGCCTGGAAACTAGCCAGTTCTAAATCATGATTTTAGAATTTTTGTTTTATTTTATTTTATTTATTTATTTA